GAGGGCCATCAAAATCACGATATATGTACATATCTGTGTCTGGTGAATTTGAAATTGTGAGTCTTACCAGTGGCACCTTTTGGACCTTTTATATCCGTCCAGATTCAGAACTGGACATGAGGTTCATCCAAACGTTTGGGAACTGCAGAAGGTTAATCAAAATGGTTTTTGCAAAAAAGTTAACTGGTGGCAAGCATAATGAAAATGCTGAAATGCATGGTCTCGTTTGGCACATAAGACGGCTATCCAGATTCCAGAGGCAATATTACTGCATGATGATTTGGTTTGTATCCCAATCTCTAGTCATGGAGTTAGTGCAAACATATCGGAAATTACACTAATCTCGTTTTCTGGTTCTGATACCGGACGAGGACCTCAGTTTGGCTAATGTGAGCAGTTTGGACTAATGTGTTTGGATCATTCTCATTTGTTTCCGCATTGATGGATTTTCAGTTTTCCACTAATGTGAGCAAATCAGAATAGGCTAGTTCACTTCAGAATGCTGGAAAATATTAGCAACCCTGCCATTACCATCTACAGTACTAGGCTAATTATGGGTCACTTGCTGTAAGCATGTGTAATTGGTGCCTGAACTCCTTTGAAGTGCTTCTAGCTTGTTCCTTTAATTCTTTTTTTTTTGCGGGAATTTTTGATCTATTTATCTTTATCATGAGCAAACATTAGAAATAATAAAAATTACATTGAGCTCTGTAGATCACCTAGTAACGACTACAAGCACGGAAGGGAGCTGAAGGTGTGCCGCCGTCATTGTCCCTTCCTTATTGGAGAGGCAAAACTTGTTAGACCGTTGGTAAATCATTGTGCTAAACCCTTGTAGGATCAGCACATCAGAACAACAATTGCCAATAAAGAACCAACCGAGCAAATAGGGAGGTCTAAATCGTTGTGCTAAACCCTTGTAGAACCAGTACATCAAAACAACAATCACTGCCGATGAAGAACCAAGCAGATAGGAAGGATTCAATTTTAAGACAGACATGAAGATCAGATTCGAGTAGATTCAACAAAGAACCATCAATCAAATTTTGCGAGATCCGTTGGAGATATATCTCCACATGCTCTTCAACAATGGTAGACGCACCATCGGGATGGGAGCTAGGCGCGGAGAACCTTATTCCATCTTAAGGTAACTGTCATTGTCTTGCCTTCATAAGCAAGACACAAATCCAAACAATACTCGAAGAAACAACTAAAAACAGAATCCTCATGCCGGCAAGATCCACCGCGCCGCCATGGGCAAACTGGTGGGAGGCATAGAAATCCTAAGCTTTTTGGTTGGTTGGGGATTAATAGATCTACACTGATGACGTGTTTGGTTCGGTGGAAAAGTCGTGGCTTCCGAATCCAGCGTTCGCTACGCACACCATGTATTAGGTCGATTGGGTGTACGCTGCCAGCAAGCACCTCGCGATTTGCGAGGCGGAGGAGGAGGCGATCTCAAAGCTCGCTAGGAAGTGGTCGCGCACGAGGGACTTGTGGCGCTCCTCGAGCGCGCCAGTGACTGTCGTGGTTATTAAGAGTAGTTTAGGGTCAGTTTTTTTGGCGGCTTAAAAAATAAGCCGTCTCCTCCTAGTTTTTGTTATAAGCTCCCTCCCTTATTTATTGGAGCTTCTGAACTAGTTATGAGATTACTAATCTAGAAGCCTGCATGAATTTTGGGAGCGGCTTATTTTTTAAGCTGGGGAGAGGCAGCTTATTTTTTAAGCCGCCCAAAAAAACCGGCCCTTAGTTTAGTAATGGATCCCGTTAATTGCTACTCCCTTCGTTAGAAATTACTTGTCGTAGAAATGAATAAAAGTGGATGTATTTAGAACTAAAATACATCTAGATACATCTATTTCTATGACAAGTATTTCCGAACGAAAAGAGTAGTTTAGTATGAGATCTCTTTAGTTAAGTACTCCCTCCGTTCTAAAATAAGTGTCTTAAAGTTAGTACAAAGTTAAGACATTTATTTTGGGACAGAGGGAGTATGTAATAAAACAAGTTTAGATCCTTTCTCAGTTATATATATATTTGTCTGTTTGCGTATTACTTATTGCATCATGTTTGTTTTAGCAACTCACTGTATCTGATCACTTGCTTAGTCTATACTGACCGCCGGCCCTGCCCCCTCGGACTAATAAAATGATGTCAAGCGAATTAGCACGATGCTATTTTAAAGATGGATAATGACACAGTACAAAACAAAAACGGCCAAATGTTCAGAAATACTAGGGCAAATAACAAAAATCACCCACCCCTTTTATTTTAGAATTTATAAAAAGGTTTGATTTGTTTCGTCAAAAGAAAAAAACAGAATGACGAACCAAACTGTGGTTGAATGGTTAGTAGGATAGTGGTATTCCCAGTAAACCAGGATTCAAATCCTGGCGCTCGCATTTATCCTGAATTTATTTTAGAATTTTCGGTGATATGCGTTCAGTGGGAAGAGACGTTCCCGTCGACTACGAGGCGCCTACGGTGACTTCATAAAATCTCAAGATGAAATGCTGACTCAGTCTTCCGAAAATGTTCATAGAGATAGAATGTGCGTGTGTGAGTTCATAAGGATGAATGTATGCATGTTTATACGAGCGCTTGCGTCTATACCGTGTTAAAAAACAGAGTGGAGAAGCTGCACATATTAATAAATGCAGGGGATTTGAAAGAGGGAGAGAAGAAGGGGTCAGGAGTGTGTAGGTTCTTTTTTGAGTTGAGAAGTGTGTAGGTAGGTGAATGACATGTGGGGCGGGACAAACAATGACCCATATGACATTGACGTGACATGGGCCGAGCCCGATGTGCTTGGTGGCAGCGAACTCCATGGGACGGAGGACCCACCTGTTCAATATATGCCTTTTATTCGATGGATTTTGGCATATTTTTCTGTAGTATTGTAACTTCACGTCCTATGTTTCTGCGTAAAAGTTTCACTAAATTTAGGATAGTATTATATTATACATTAAATGAACTTTTGCGCACTCATTGAAAGTGACTCGGTTTTGAAATGTAAGTGTATGAAATAAGTTCTTAAAAATGTAGTAAAAATATGTTGAAGGATATATATACATTTTGAGGTCAAGTGCTGGAGATGGATAAAACATTCAACTTTGCGCTATGTTAGATCCGGACGGAGTTTTCCTATGATTTTAGAAAAAAGATAAAATATCTAAATAAAGTCAAAAAATACTAAAAATTTGGCACATATGATAAAAATGAGAAGAACACATAAAATAAAGTTTCGTAATATTCACCCCAAATCTCTAACTTTGTAACACCCAAACCAATTTCAGTGATCATTTGAGCTCTTTTCAGTTTATTTTTCTACAGCTTGTTTATCATTTATAACATTGTTTTTGCATTATCTTTAGCTATTTAAGTCCGAAAAATGAAATAAGCTCTAAATGTTGTCCAAAATTACTAAAAATTGGCACGGAGTCAAAATATTCGTATAATATCTTATGATAAAAATCTTAGAAGAATGCACATAAGATAATGAATGTTTGCCAAGTAGACTATCTCCCATAACATCACAAGCAAATATCCACACAACATTTTTTAAATGACTATTTGCACTCATTTTCACTTCAAATGTTGTGTACTTTCTTGAACATTTGTAATGACAAATGTAAATTGAAATCACCATTTTTATGTAATGATCTATATTTAGTGTTTCCTCTCACTTTTTTAGTTGAAAAATAAATAATAAAAATAAAAGTTGTTGAAAAAAGTCAAATCTGGCATGAATTCCTAATATTGGTACATGAGCTTGTCATGAAAAACTGACACAATTTCTTAAAAGAGTGAAAAACACTTTCTTAGAAATGACCCATTGTGACCCACATATGACGCTTTAGCTAGACCCACTGCGTACGCTCTAGGAATCAGCTGCCGCCATCTTCTGCCGTCCCACATTTGGAGTGATCAACACATTCACGTCGCCAAGGCATACTACCGTCAACGTCAACATGATGCCAGACAATACCACCATCCTGCACGTGTCCATCTACACGCGCATGTCGCTGAAACTCCGTCGCGCCTTGCCGTCGAGACCCGTCGTCGGCCTTGTGGTAGATGTAACACCGATCCTCCTCTTGTCACATTCAACCAGCACTTACTCCAAAACGATGCCCCAGGAGGGAGAACGGCATTGAAGGATCCTCCATCGTTCGATTTGGGAGACCCAGATCTAGGGTCCCCACCGAAACACCCCGAGCATGGTGAAGCAACCAGCAACGATGATGCCTCAGAAGGAAACGACGTCAGAGACGCCGCCATTGTCCGCCAAGACCGTAGTCGACACAATTTTCACCGGAAGTCGCGTCACGCTAATCTGGCAGCTAGCTGGATCCGCGAGCACCCTCCCCATGAAGACGAACGGGGCCACCCGAATGCCGGTAGAGGACCTCTGGCTGCCCTAGACCGGTCCCATCACGCGTCCTAATCTGGCCAAATCCATGCCTTGACGGATCTGCCTAGGAAGCGAGATCCACGGCCGCCGCCGCCGCCCATCGCAGAGCCGGGGAGCCCACCGGAGCAACCCGCCGGCCATGGGGCCGCCGATTGCCGCCACACGACTTGGAAGCTGCCCTGGCCGCCGTGCAGGGCACCCTGCCCAAGCCACCCCAGTCGCCTCCAGGGGTAGCCACCACATCCTCCTGGCGTTGCCCTAGGGTGGTGGCGCGAGGGGACCGAGCTCGTCCATAAGTTCATGAAACATGTATTCACCCTACTTTATAGATAAAGCACAAACTAAATGCACAGTTGAACAATGCAAGGTAGTGTGGCAATCCTCTTACAAAGCAGATCCCAGAATAACCGGACAACACAAAGACAACGTCATACCACGTTCTAGGACAATTAAGCTCCACGACAATGTCTTCACGAGGGAGAACCGCACAAAGAGTCACCGCCGAACTCGGCCATAAGTTCAAGGGTATGAATTGGGTTTCTCTCAAAACAAAACAATCTTTAAATCTTCAGTAAAGCTCATTCTCATGCTATATCATTCTCTGATTTTCCGCGCTTCTTTTGGGGAGTGCTTCGTTTCGGAAGCTTCAAGCTCATTACACCAACATATCACCAGTACACGCAGATGTTACAGTTTTAAAAATAAACAAATACTCCCTCTGTAAACTAATATAAGAGCGTTGAGATAACTAAAATAGTGATCTAAATGCTCTTATATTAGTTTACGAAGGGAGTATGTGACATTCTTCTTCTTGCAACCTAGGAGTATATATTTCCTATCCTCTATTCCTGGAGCGTCCGAAGCAGCTGGTGGAGCGTCGGAGCAAATCTGGTGACGTTGAGCCTGATGTCCTGCTCCAGCCAGTAGTACTTCATGCCCAGCTGCCACCCCTGCTTATGTATGGACTCCGGGTCTCTCACCGCCGGGTGGTCCTTGCCGTACTTCTCGTAGAGCGTGCTCTCCTCGGCGGCGATGCTGTACTCGACGTCCCGCAGCCTCATCTCCTTGGCCTGCACGCCGTAGAATATCATGGCCGAGTGCTCCATGTGGCCCCACGGCACCACCTGCAGCATCGCCGCGTCGGTGCGGAGGAAGAAGAAGTTTGTGAGCCCGGCGCCGTGCGCGCCCATCAGCACGTCGCACGAGTCCACCACCTTGGAGAACTCCTCGAGCCTCAGGTCACGGCGCGGCTCCACGACCACCACCTCGAACCCGGCGGCCTGCACCGCCGCGGAGATCTCCGGGATGTTGACGAACTTCCTGTTCCGGCCACGGTTGATGAGCATGAGCCGCGGCTTCCGTTTCCCCGTGCCACCATCGACGCCGCCGGTCGCGTTCTTGTTTGCCTCCTTGTACGGGATGCCAAGGCCGTCGGGCGGCAGCGAGAAGATGTCCCGGATGTACACGCGGAAGTCCAGCAGCGTGTAGTTGCGCGGCGTGCGGGCCGGGTCGATGCCGAGGTCGCGGTGGCTGCGGAGGCCGACGACGATGCGCGGGTGGCAGCGGACGCCGGCGCCCTTGTTGAAGTCGACGATGTCGTAGCGGGACAGGTTGGCGAGGATGAGGCGGTACTTGTCGACGAACCACGGCTGGAGGTCGGTGACGAGGAACTGGACCTCGCCGTCGTAGGCGCGGGCGGTGATGAAGAGCGGGACGAGCACGTCGCTGAAGTCGTGCCACGGGTTGGACGTGAGCCCGTTCATGGCGAACACGACGGCCGGGACGGCGTGCCGGGAGGTGCACTCGGGCGCCACCAGGGACTCCGCGGCGCTCAGGGTCTTGACCGTCACCTTCTCGATGTACTCCAGGTACTTGCGGGACTGGTCCTTGATAGCCCACTCCTGGCCGTCGGCGCCGCGCTCGGCTGCGGGCGGGACATAGAGGATGGTGCGGTTGCCGCCGATGGCCCGGGCGTCGCCGGTGATCTCGCAGATGTCGTACCTGGGGTCGGACAGGTCGCAGATGGGCTTGGGCGGGGCACCTGAATGCATGCGGCCGACGTTTTACTCATCATGTTACCGATTGACGATTGAAGTTAAGTTTTCGTGGCAAGAACTCACCATGCTTGACGTTGCTCTCATTCTTGCCGCCGTCTTGACCGAGTTCTTGCCGAATGAGCTCTTCCTCCATCCTGTCGCTAGCTTCATTCACTGTCTGGCCTGACTGGTCTGTCCTATTCGCTTGCACGTTATCTGAATTAACAACTAGATTAACAGCTGGTCAATCATCAGTAAACTAACTGTAAGAGAGACTAGAGAGTACAACTACGTATGATGATCGACAAAATAATTATAGTAATGCCAAAACAAACAGTGGATGAGTTAGGCAGTGAAAGGTCGTAGTATTACCAGTCGTTTTATTCATGTCAGTTCTTCCAGGTACAACGTTTTTGTCTTCGATGCGTACTTGTCCCATCGTCTTGGCTGCCTCGTCCTTCTTGCCATTTTCCATGTCATGTACTGCACCTGTCAATGTTAGGTATACATCAACAAAGCAAATTAGCCAGAATCACTTGACCTCAGATATTCGAATACGTTGTGGAAAACATAGCCAAATGTAATCACTTGGCCATGGATATTGAACTACGTTAAAAAGCGTAGTTAGAATGTTGAAATAGCTTCGTGCAACAAAAATTGAAATAGATGCATGTGTGCGCACGGCCAAAACCGCGTAGCAATCAACCAACAAGCACACTGCACACACACGCTCTCTAAAAAAAGTATATTCGTATTCTCTGTCGAAAACGTACTACGTACGATCCTGCCTACACATACTATGTGTGTGCTATAGCTAATACCCGTGCCACACGTAGGCACATCCCCATCGTTTACTATTAGGCCATTATTATGAAGCCGCTGATCACGACGCGGCACCCTAACCTATCTTCTTCATGTGCGCGCCGTGGGCCAGGCAGTTGGGTTCCGTCGTTTGTCAGGACCCGATGCTCAGCACAGTTCGCTTAGCCAAAAACAAACCCCGGAGCATGCTAACAACGACTTCACAGCATTTGATTATTACACAGGGTGGCGATGATCACGCTGAATCAGAATATAAAGATACGTGTCACCGGCCGCGTTAGTTCTAATATACGTACCTTGTGTGGAATTATTATTGTCTGGCGCCGACGACGACGCTGGAGGAGGAGGAGGAGGAGGAGACGTCCTGCCATTCTGTTCGGCTGGCGTGGACCGCAGGGCGACTGCATGCACGTATACAAGGGAAGTTAGCTGGCTGTATGGTAAGCGTGACGACCCGGCGAATCAAGAACATGCTTTGACATTCCACCTTTATACAAAAAATATAAAAGGTCCTAACCTTCTCTAATTCGGATGTATATAGACACATTTTAGTGTGTTTATTTACCCATTTGTGTTCGTATGTAGTCTATATTGGAATATCCAAAACATCTATTGTACTCTATTTGTGAACGGAGGGGGTACTAGCTAGTATGACGACATTTTGCGAATAATGTAAATAGATAGGCCGTTACAAATTTAGATATGTGTGTGATCCCGTTTTGAGTCTGCTAGAAATAATACTCAGCGTTAAATTTAGTGCAAGAAAAGGTGAGCATGCATTTGGAGCGGATATATTGCAGGGGAGCTGAAAATTGATTGTCCTCCGTTCCAAAATAGATGACCCAACTTTGTACTAAGGTTAGTACAAAGTTGGATCATCTATTTTGGAACGGAGGAAGTACAAAAGAATGGCGTGGCTATATGTGGTGCACTCTGAATGAAATTAATGGAACAATTAATGCAGTGCAATAATTTGGAAGGAAACAAGTATGATTGCATATGCATCGTTTGAATATTTCTGAGGAAGAAGCGTATGTCATTCTCCTGAAAAAGAAAGGTGACTGGTTTTCCACTGTTTTTCTTGATTTGTAGAGCCGGACAAGTCATACATACATGCATAGCCAGTGTGGGAGGAGACTTCCAAATGAATGAGGACTAGTGTATGGAATCCATACGTCACCGAGTCTACCAGTGGGGTCAAGGATGAATATAGCCGAGTTGAGTTTAGCCATGGAGTTTGTGAACAGAAATCGGATGCATAATTCTTCAACTAGTGGTAAAAACAAGTACTACGCGCTCTAGTATGACCATGACCAGGGTCAAGAGAAACGTCGAGGACGTTACCCCGGTAAACAAGCAGGGAGAACCGCATGCAGGTAATAACTGATAGTAATAATTACTGTAGAAGGTTACCACTGCTACCCCGTACTCACCGATGGTGTTGGGCGTCCCGAACTGGCCGGACGCGGTCGTGTAGAGCACGAGGATGACGAAGAAGCCGAAGAGGAAGGCGACGACGGCGCGGTGGTGCTGGGACAGCGCCCTCGCCACGCCCTTCACCGACGGCGCCGCGGCGGCCGACGACGACGAGGAGGACGGGTCGGCGGTCATGCCGTCGAGGCGCTCGCGCAACGCCCGCCCGTCGTTTCTCTCCGCCCTTTTAATTTGTCTGTGTGCAGCAAGGCTCGGCTTATGCGACGGGTAATGTCTGCGGCGCGCGTGTATTTATACAGGCGGCCCGCCGGGCAGAGTGGTGGCGAGTTCCATGTGGCTCCACACGGAGCTATGTAGGATTGTGTATTCTGAACTGTCTTCCTGTAGAAACGCTTCGCCAGTTTTCCTCTCGTCTCTGGCGGCTGCAATCCTAGCCGCCGACAGGGCCAATCTCCCAACGCCGTTCTCCGGCGGCTCCCCTCCGCCCACGACCTCGGTCGTCGGTGGTGAGAGGGGCCGCCGGATCCACGCGTGTGGATCGATTTTAATCCCTTATAGTTTAGGTGTTTAGGTTGTTCATCGTCTTTGCTTCGGTGATGGCGATGGCGGCGCTGAATAATGAATCTTCGGATCCTTCCCTGACAAGGCCATCGGTCCTATGGTTGGGGATGGATTTGGAAACCAGTCTGTTCAAGTAAGAATGGTGTGGCGGCGGCGGCATCCTTGTGGTGGACCTGTGTCCTCGGGTTCCACCGTTGCGACGACGTTTGCTCCAGCATCGACGCGGAGCTTGGGAGGTAGTCCAGGAACGGATGCAGATTGTGGTCTGCATCGACGACATCTGGAAGATGGAATATCTACTGGGTTCGTGGTTTGTGGATGGAAGGTATGGTTTCCTCCTTCGGCGTCTTAGTCGTGGTGGAGTGCCAGATCTGAAGTTCGATGGCGTGTCCGGGGTGTTGCCCCGGTCTGATTCGTTCAACGGCAAGGGCTTCACTTTTGGTGAGCCACTTTGGAGGTCCGCAAAGCTGCATATCAGCGATGGAGCCGCGTCGAGCTCGGGTGAGGTGGTGATTTGTCATTTTTTTTCCGGTGGCTGCTGTGGTGGTGCCGGAAGCAGTTGACGAGCGTTGGTGTCAAGCTCAGAAATGTTCTACTATCTTTTCAGTATTGTCATGTCGGTCTTTACGTGATTTGTACTTTGTTCTTTATGATATGAATGAGACACGTATTATCATGAAAAAAAAAAGTTCCATGTGGCTCTAACCTGCTTGATTGTCGCCTAAAAAAACTTTGATTAGTCCACGGAACATGCCGCTGGCGGCGAGAGGGGGTATCAAACCGTATGATGCGTCGGCCGTTGGCCAGCGAGCTCTACAATTGGAGATTAGTGAGGATGAGGACATGTACATGCGTAATCCCTACCGTAAGTGTTTTTTTTACATTTAATCCCTCCTGAAGGTTCATGTTGTCTTTTAAACATATTACTGGATGGAAAAAAAATATATTCATGTATTGAAAAGTTCTCTAAAAGGTTCCTCGATTTAAATTAATTTGTTCATCACTTCAATATATATATATATATATATTCATAAACTTTTAAAAAATGATTACATATTAGTAAGAAAGCAAAAAACATAACCAATAATAGTAATATCAAAAAGGAAAAATTTGAAAAACAAAATTAAAAAATTAAAAAGAAAAATAAAATGCATGGAAGAGAAAATGAAAACACTAAAAAAGCAAGCAAGCATATAAGTTTTTTTAACATGAGCCCTGCCCATGTAGCTCCCTTTAAGGCGTTGTAGAGCACCCCACTGGGAAGTCCTATTCACCGCCTCTAGCACCATATTGCCGCTGAAAAAACCCCATGGACCTGCCTAGGTAGTGCTCTTGTTGCCAAAAAAATCAGACGCCACTCGTTATAAAGGGAAACTCGAAAGGAGATGGCTCCAAAATACTACTAGTTATATTATTTAAATTTGCCTAAAATAGGCTATTATTTAGATTCGCCTAAAATAGGCTATTATTTCATTTCCTAAAATAGGCTATTATTTAAATAATGTATTATTGTAAAATATATTCATGAATTAAAAAAAAGTCTAGGAATAAAAATGTTCATGATTTCTTTTAAATGGTCGTGAAATTAATAAATGTTCATGATTTTATTTTAAAATCACAAATTTGAAAGATAGTTTACTAATTAAAAAATGAATTTTAAAAATACATGTTTTAAACATTATTCATTATTAGGAAAACAACAACTAAAAATGTACTAAACATAAAAAATAAAAATGAATAACGAAATGATGAATATAAGAAGAACCATGGAAAACCTGTAGAGAAATAAACAGAAAAAAACCTAAATATAGATCGACTGAACCTGCTACACTCTTACGCATGGTAGCTACCTTCACCGCGTTTGTCGGGCCTGACGCAACAACGACCATGCTTCACTATGACCGAGGGTAAGGTGCCCGTTTTTGCTAGAAAACCGACCAAATCAAGAAACCAATAAAGAAATCGCCCGAGGATGAGACGTGGGCTGGGCTAGCGAGCAAGTGCTTTGTGCGTGTGCATAGCACATAGAACAGTGGTACATAGGATAATATTGTTTTGTGGGAGCTCCTAATCGGCGCCTTCAGCACCGGTTAGAAGAAAGGGACTACGCATGACATCCCTGACAGGCCGGCCAACAGGAGGCCTTATCTTCAGATCGCTTGTTCCCCCCAAAAAAACTGTGTTGACCCGTCATGATTGACCAGTCCATCGTTTGATCTTTGACTATTCAAAAGATAGAAATGGGGAATTAAAAAAGTTCATCATTTTTTTATAAAAAATCACCAAATTGTAAGGGATTCAACAATTTTGAAAGAATTTCAAAAGTTCATCTATTTCAAAAAAGTTCATTAGATGTTGAAATTTTTTCATCAAAATGGAGTTTTTTTCATAATTTTTGAAGAAAAGTACATAAATTTCGAAAAAAACATCATTTTTTTTTACAATTTTCATTGATTTTAAGAAAAAGTTCACAAAAAACTGAAATAAGATCATCGATTTTGAAAAAAAAGTTCGCACAATTTGAAAAGAAAAACGAAAAAACGCCTAGGAAACCCAGATAGAAACATAGAGAAAAAACAAACGGAAAATAGAAATGGGTCGGCCCGCTACTAGAGGTAGTGTATAGGAGGGTGTGCGCCCGGTAAGCGGCACCTTAAGCACCATATAGGAAATGCCTTGTTTTGGGGAGCTCCTAATCGGCGTTCTAGACGTCGGTTCGCACTACTAGTGCTCACCCGCCCATGCTCGTGGGCCAGCCCATGTACAAGGCGACTCCTCGATTGCATTTCATCGGTTTCCCCTATTCGCTTGATCACATTTGATCGGACGCTGTGGACCAGTTAATCGGTCAACCATAGACTTTACAAGTAGATAAGGAAAAAATTTGTTTTGCAAAAGATCGAAAAAGTTTGTGAATTCAAAAATGTTAACGAATTTAGAAAAAATTCACAAACTCCAAAAGTTCAAGGATTTGATAAAAATGTACTAAACATATTTCATCAAATTTTTATGAAATCATCAAATTACACAATTTTTTATGAAATCATCAAATTTGAAAAAAAAAACTTCATCAAATTTGGAAAAAGTTCATCGATTTTGAAATAAATTTTATGAAATTTCAAAAAAAAATCATTGAATATTCAGAAAACTTCATGGATTTTCAAAATGAGTAGTTCATGAATTTGGAAAAAAAATCATGGATTTGCAAAAACTTTGCCAATTTTGATAAAAGAGTCCATGCATTTTTCAATAAAATGAAAAATAAAAGCGGCAAGAAAAAGAAGAAGTGAAGAATAAGAAGAATATGTAAGTAATCAAATTCGGCTCGGTTGCATGGTTGGTTGCTCTAGAGGTGGAGGCCGTGGGTTTGAACGATACACCACTCGCACATTTTTTTGGGTTTAAAACAAAAAATTGGGC